TTTTTATAAAATACAGGGGGATGAAGAGTTTGGAACAAAATCCTTTTTTTAAAATACTGTGGCTATGGTTTCAATTTCATCATTTCTATAATTTTTATTACGTTGCTGAAAGTTAAGATAAATATGTTAAAAGATGTACATATGAAGGAAATGCTTTTCCCTTTAAAAATAGAGAAAAATCTCTTAATGTGTTCCTCTGAGCCATCAGAGTGCTTTTTCCTAAGGGCCATGCCCATCTCTACGTGAAAAACAGTAATACCGAAGTGTGGAAAATAAATACTTTTCTAAATAAACAGAGAAAATGTGTCTCTAATCTGAACCTTCAATGTCTGTGTCACATTAAGGTTAGTAACTGATTTATGCTGAATTAACAGTGACATCTTAATCCTATTATTCTTCTGACTAGTGAGAAAAAAATTAAAAAGAGAATTAAAATAATCCAATTTAAGAAACAAAAATCTCCCAGTATGAATCGTTATAATCATTTAATAAAACATTTATTGAGAACAAGCTAAATGCAATTGTAAAGATAAAAAATAGCTTAAGAGAAACTCTGCTATGTCTAAGGACTTGACTAAAATGGGATAGCTGTCAGAGAAAGACAAATAGTATATGATTTTCCTCATATGTACAATTTAAGAAACAAAACAGTTGAACCCAGGGGGAAAGACCACAAAATAGACTCTTAACTACAGAGAACAAACTGAGGGTTGCCATAGAGGAGGTGGGTAAGGGGATGGGCTAGATGGCTGATGGGCATTAAGGAGGGTACTTGTTATGATGGACACTGGGTATTATGTGTAAGTGATGAATCACTTTAGTCCTGAAACTAGCATTACACTATATGTTTTTTTTTTAAGTTTTTAATATTTATTTATTTATTTCTGAGAGAGAGAACGAGCACAAGCTGGGGAGGAACAAAGAAATAAGGGACCACAGAATCTGAAGCAGGCTCCAGGCTCTGAGCTGTTGGCACAGAGCCTGATGTGGGCCTCAAACCCACGAGCCGTGAGATCATGACCTGAGCCGAAGTTGGACACTTAACTGACTGAGCCACCCAGGTGCCCCTACACTACATGTTAATTAACTGGAATTTAAATAAAATCTTGAAATATAAAATAAAATAAAAAATAAAATAGGATAAGTGAAACATTAAAAAATTATGCTAAAAATGCATACATACATAAGTGCACTAACTACATGTTAATAAATGTATAAAGCAAGTAGGGAGCACTTCAGTGTCATTAAGCAGGAACACGTCTCAGCAGGATGGCAAATCAGGTGAGATTTCATAGATACAAAGGACGCTCTAGGAATGCAAGCAGCAAAATAAAGCATATATTTAGGAAACAAGCAACAGTACAAATATGCCAATACTTAGGGTTTTTGCAAAGTAGTAGAGTTATCAGGTAAAAAAGGGAATTATATCTCAGGAAATAGAGAGGCTCTTGAGATACTGGTAACTCAGGTCCATACATATTAACATTATACCTATAACAAGTTATGTTTCACGAATATTCACATGTATTGAGTAAGCAATAGGTCACACCCATCATCATCACAAACACTGTAGGAGCTTATTCCAGTAAACTGCATGTAAGGAGAGCAGATGTATTAGAAAAGCAGTAGTTGAAACATTAATAGAGATTACAGTAAGAACAAAGGGTAGCAGGATATGACACTTCAAAATATGCCACTGGTGTAAATAATGACGTTTGGGGTGATGGTGGGGTTGTCCATAGTTGACAGCCAAGGAAGAATTCTTGAAGATGTCTTTGGTGCAAAAGGTAAAGCACGGGGACAGAAAGAGCTGCACTGGGCTTGTGATGGGTGACTCATTATATACCCTCAGGTTGGGAGGGGGTCAGGGATAAAATAATTCTCTAAGAAACTTTGGAAGCAAGGTTTCCAGGACCTTGAGGGGCTAGCAGTTGCTAGGGAAACACCACTGATCACTGTCTAATAAAACCTCAGTTATGAGACCCTTCAGATGTATATGGGGTGGGGGGTGGGGAAATAAGCTTGGAGTATGATTGCCAGTATGTATCTTGGGGTACGTGAGATAAAGGAAGTAGATTTACAGGATCCTCAAGGTTGGGATAATGTTAAGCAAAGATTCTCTTTTGCCCCTAGCAAAGTGTCACCATCCAGGCTGAGCTCCTAGAGGGAAGTCGTTCTGTCGGTTTCAGGGACTTCTCAAGGGGCTACAGGCAGTAAGGGAATTTAGTTTTTCATTTGGCTTAGTTTCCCCCATGACCATGGCAAGCACTTAAACCCCCTTCCTTTGTTCTTGGGGAGCCAGGAGTGTCCTAGGAATATCACACATATTCTACCTGGGGGTGGGGCAGTGTGTATTTTGCCCTCAGCTTGTCCCCTGTCTCCCATCATAAGAATTATTTTGAGCTGAAGGCAACTAAGCAGATACAAGAAAAGCATTCTGCCCTCCCCAATCTGCCTAAAAGCAGCATATACATCTATGAAGGTGTCCCTCCACCCTCCCCCTTACCAGGAAGGACAAAGGTTAATTTCTGGAGACAACTTTAGACCCTTATGAATGGAAGGAAGGCACCTGTGACTTAAATCTGAGTACTATACCTCACTTTTCCTGGTCACCTTCACAAACGTGGCCTCCCCTCCACACATTTCTTTCTTTAACTGAAGATGGTATTTGAGCATAAACTCTAAGTCACCTCTGAGTGTTTACAAATTTTTCCCTGAGTACCACCCATGTATACCAGCAGTATACAAGTTAATAAATGGTGTTTTCCTCTTGTAATTCTGTATTTTGTTACCAGCATCCTAGCCCAAAACTCAGAAGAGTAGAGAAGTTAACACATTTCATAAGAATGTTGATTAATTTTCTATATACTTGAACAAATCAAATAATAATAAAAAGCAATGCTTAATGCTTTGAACCTAAGGAATATTCTTTTAAAAGAATATTCAAAAACAGTAATGAAAAACTTAGAAGTTTTCCTAAATTTACATGTTTAGGTATCATGAACATAATAGTGATCAAATCTTTGTGTCAGGACTTTCTTTATGCAATATGAAAATATCAGTGACAAAAACCGATAGTCATGCTGTCAGGGACTTATATCTTAGTGTCATGACAAAAGGCAAACAAAAATAATACAAAATAAGTAGATAACACAGCATGTTAGATGGTTAGTGCTATGAAGAAAAAATAAAACAGAAAAGGGAGATGCTGCAGGCACGGGGGAGGAGAGGAAAGGCCTACACTTTCAAATAGGACTGTCAGAAAGACTTGCTTGATAATTATTTCCAATTATTTTTCTTTAAAATAATTCCATCTGCATATTAAAAACATTCAATTATTCTTCAAAGTAGTGACAGATTTCAAAAACATACACATGTAGCAAAACCCATGTCTAAATGACACTGGGAGTTGATCATCCAAAGAATCTAACTCTGATTCCATATCATTGCCATCTTTAGGAGAAATCTGAATATGTTCACAAAAATGAGACCAAATTGATTATTATGTAGTATCTAATCTGGCAATTAGCAACTAGTCCTTAAAACCTGATTGGGCAGTCGGGGACAAGTGAATGAAGTGAATTATATCCCTATATGATAGAGTTGCACAAAGAAGTTCAAAGAAAGTCACACTGTAGAAGAAGAAATAAGTAATGTGTTGGCCTTCATACTAAACACATTTGAAGTACTGGAAGCAGTGAAGAATAAATCTCATAAGATTATGTTATTATCTTTACAGAGAATTTATAACTATATTGCCGTATGCAAATTTTGTTTGGAACCACAATTTTAGAAATTAAGAATTCATTATTCTAAGTGATGTGGTAACATGGTTACGGTTTTCAAAGACCTTATCTTTTAGGGATACACACGATAGTACTTCTGTATGAAATGAAATGACATTGACCACTTATTTCAAAAGAGTCCAACAGCAGGTAAAGAGAACTGAGTGGGAGAATAGAGGAGCCAAGGATTGGTTGTGAGCTAGGGATTGTTTGGCCATGGGTATACGAGGGTGTCATGACATTATTTTCTCAAAAGCTATATGTTCTCCAAATGAAAACGTTACAGAAGAAAATTACATTTTTAAACAGTTAATCATCACCAACTTAATAAATCCTAAGCCTCAAAGACAGCTGATCTGTTTTTTCAAAGTTTATCTATAACAATTTATCCAATTCACCAAAAAAAAGAAAAAACAAAACCCCAAAAATAATCCTCCCCAAAACAATATCCTAAGAAGGAAAAGCAACAAAATAAGGAAATTCAGTAGTAGTTACTGACATTAACTTTGCTACTGATTTCATTAATGTCACTTTTAATTTTATAGCAAACAGGTCTTAGCATTCTAATAAATGGACCACCAGAGTTCATATCACTCTCTTCTGAACTACAGTACATTTAGCACTGATGGGACACTGACTACAAACTATGCCTCGTTCCTCTGCTGGCATTACATATTATTACTACAACAATATGTAAAGTTGAAAAAATAGGTTATGAACGTCTATTTGATGTGGTAGATGTGCTAATTTTCTTTTTTTTTTAATTTTTAAGTTTATTTATTTATTTTGAGAGAGACAGAGACAGAATGAGTAGAGGAGGGGCAGAGAGAATCCCAAGCAGGCTCCATACTGTCAGTGCAGAGCCTGATGGGGGGCTCAAACTCATGAAACCATGAGGTCATGACCTGAGCTGAAACAGAGAGCTGGACCCTTAACTAACTGAGCCACCCAGGTGCCTCAGTACACTAATTTTCTTAAACAGCAAAGCAGTCCTCACCCTAAAAAAAGTAATATATTCATATATTGTGTGTGTGCATGTGCATGTGCATGTGCGTGTGCGTGTGTGTGTATGTATACTGCAGAGGTAGTATTAGAAGAGAAAAAAACCTAAAATTTACAAATAAATCCTTTCTTACTAAATACTAAACATAATTTCTGATTACTATATAAACAGGATTAAAGTTCAAAATGTGGATGCTTAGAACACGCACTTACCACTTGTCCATTGTGTGGGTTCTTATGAGCATACGGAGGTCCACGGATATGATTCCACATCTGGCCAGAAGTCATAGCAAATACTATACACTGAAAAAAAGTGTATACGTGAGTCAAAGAATATCAGAATCCTGCATTTTAAAAATATAATGGCCATGAAACTGAATTTAACAAATCATGTATCAGTTCACCCATTAGCATGATTTTCACTTACTAACTATGGGACTTTGGGTACGTTACTTACTTCCCTGTTTCTCATATTTATCTATAAAATGGACATAATAACCATGCTAAAAAGGTATGTTAAAAATTAAATTCAGTAACATATATAAAGCATCTGGTAGAGTGACAATCTGATATGTCCTAACCAAAGACAGTCAAAAGCATAGGTTATTAATCACCTAGGTTCATAGTTCAAAGCAATTATATATATATTATAAAATAGTAAAAATAAAGAATGTTTTTAACCTATTTAAACACACAGACCTCAACTTAGAGATGAAGAAGGCGGTGGAGTAGGGTGACTCTAGGCTCTTCTTGTCCCATGAACACAACTAGATTAACTATCAGAGCATCCTGAATACCCTGAAAACTGACCTGAAGACTGTCGGAACTCCACAACTAAAAAGACAGAAGAGGTCATACTGAAGGGGAGAGAGAGAGAAAGAAAAGCAGAGGGAAGAAGAAAGGTAGGGAGGGCAAGCGAGCATGGAAAAGGGGAAAAAACAAGAACGTCTTCCCCAAAGTCATTTGGAAACTTGGAAAACAAGAGGAACTGAAAGCCCAGAGTTGTAAAGGTCAGAGGGCATGGCTGGGATAGAGTCCAGAGAAGCAGCGCCCTGTTCCTGGAGAGAAGGCAGGCAAACAACCTGGCTGGAGGCATCTTCCTCCATCCAGGAAGCAGTACAGCTCTTCCTGACCTGCTGACACCAAGCCCCACACCCCTGCGCTCTCGTGGGAATGCCATTCTGTTTCCATGCGGTGGGCCCCTCCCCTCAGGCCAGCACAAATCCCTGTTCACACCATGTCCCCCACATAGAGTTCTGCAGGGCTTCAGTTCCAGTAGAGTTGGGTGTCCGTTCTCATTTCACCAGCAGACCAGGGCACACGTAGTAAAAACTTGCCACATTTAGGCCAAGGACCAAACACTGCCCAGAGTAGGCAAGGAAAGCCTCTGCAGATAACCAGCATGAAGGATAGAGCAGCCATAACACAATAGCAGAGTGTGTGCAGCACACACCAGAGATACTCCTTCAAGGGCTAAATGATCTCTTCTTCATAAGGACATTATGTTGAACAGCAGAAAATATAACTGGCTTTTCTAACAACACAGAAGAAGGCAGAGACTTAGACAAAAATGCCAAGACAGAGGAATTTATCCCAAATGAAAGACAAGATAAGGCCACAGCCAGAGATCTAAGTGAAACAGATGTGAGTAATGTGCCTGATGGAGAATTTAAAGCAACAATCACAAGAATACTCACTGGGCTTAAAGAGAGGACATCAGGGAGACCTTTACCACAGAGTTAAAAGAATTAAAAAAGAATCCCTCAGAAGTGAAAAATGAGATGAACAAGATTAGAAACAGGTTTGATGCAATGAATAGCAGGCTGGAAGAAATAGAGCAAGAAGTAGAGAATTAGTGAACTAGAAGATGAAATAATGGAAAGTAGGGTGAACAAAAGAGAGAAAGAAGAACAACTATGGAACATGAGAATATACTTAGGGAACTCTGACTCCATCAAGTATAGTAACATTCATATTATAGGAGTCCCAGAAGAAGAGAGCAAAAAGGGGCCAGAAAATTTACTTTAAGAAATAATAGCAGAAAGCTTCCCTAATCTGGAGAAGGAAACAAGTATCTAGATTCAGGAGCCACAGAGAACTCCAGTCAAACTCAATAAATGTAGGCCAATACCGAAACATATTGTAATTGAATTTGCAAAATATACTGGTAAAGAAAAAGTCTTTAAAAAAGCAAGACAAAAGTCCTTAACTTACAAGGTAAGACGGCTGAAGGTTTCTCAACAGAAATTAGGCATGCCAGAAGGAAGTAGCATGGTATACTCAGAGTGCTGATTTGGAAAAATCTACAGCCAAGTATACTCTATCCAGCAAGTTTATCATTCAGTATAGAAGGAGAGATAAAGAGTTTCACAGACAAACAAAAACTAAAGGAGTTCATGACCATGAAATCAGCCCTGCAAAGTAATATTAAAGGAGGCTCTCTGAGTGGAAAGACCAAAAGTGACAGAAACAAGGAAGGGTCAGAAAAATCTCAAGAAACAACAAAACAAGTATTAAGATGGCACTAAATAATTATCATTACTTTAAGTGTAAATGGACTAAACATTCCAATCAAAAAACATAAGGTGTCATAATGGATTAAAAAAAAACACCATAGATACGCATATGGATCCATTTATATGCTACCTACAAGAGACTCATTTTAGACCTAAAGACATCTACAGATTCAAAGTGAGGGTATGGAGAAACATTTATCATACAAATGGAGATCAAAAGAAAGCCAGAGTCCAATACTTATATCAGATAAACTACCCTTTAAAGCAAAGACAGTACTAAGAGACAAAGGGTATTATATGATAATAAAGGGGACAATCCAACAAGAAGATATAATAATTGTAAATATTTATGTGCTCAACACGGGAGCACTCAAATATATAAAACATTAACAAACATAAAAGGAAATAACCAATAGTAAGGCAATTAAAGTAGCGGACTTTAAGACCCCATTTAAATTAGTATACTATCCAAACAGAAAATACACAAGGAAACACTGGACCAGATGGACAGAACAGATACATTCATAACACTCAATTCAAAAAGAGCAGAATACACATTCATTTCACATGAAAATGGGACATTCTCAAGAGCAGATTACTTATTAGGTCACAAATCAGGCTTCAACAAATACAAAAGACTGAAATCATACCATGCATCTTTTCTGACACAATGTTATGAAATTAGAAGTCAATCAAAAGAAAAAATATTGAAAGATTGGAAAGATCACAAATATATAGAGGTTAAACAGCAGGTTCCTAAACAATGCATGGTCAACTAGGAAATCACAGAAGAAACCTTAAAAAATACATGGAAACAAATGAAAGGGAAAACCCCCCACAAAAGTTCAAAACCTCTGAGATGCAACCAAAGTGTCCTTAAGAGGGAAATATATTGCAATACAGGACTACCGTAAGAAGCAAGAAAAATCTAAAACAACCTAACCTTTCACCTACAGGAGTTAGGGAAATCATAATCAATCATAATCATAGAAGTCTAAAGCCAGCAGAAGGAAGGAAATTATAAAAAATAGAGAAGAAATAATTACCTAGAAACTTAAAAAAACAATAGAACAGATTAATGAAACCAGGAGTTGGTTCTTTGAAAAAAAATCAACAAAACTGGTAAACCTCCAGCCAGACTTAACAAAAAAAGAGAAAGGCCCAAATAAACAATATCACAAATGAGAAAGGAGAAATAACAACCAACACCATATAAGAGAAAATTATGAAAATCTAAATGCCAACAAATGCACAACATGGAAGAAATGGATAAATTCCTAGAAACATAAATGACCAAAACAAACAGGAAGAAACAGAAAACTAGAACAGGCCAATAACTTGCAAAGAAACTGAATCAATAATCAAAAACTCCCAAAAAAGTAAACTCCAGGGCCAGATGGCTTCTCAGGTAAATTCTACCATTCATTTAAAGAAGAGTTAGTACCTTTTCTTCTCAAACTATTCCAAAAAACAGAAAGGAAGGGGAGAGGGGAGAGGGGAGAGGGGAAGGGGAAGGGAAAGAGGAAGGGAGAGGGGAAGGGAGAGGGAAAGGGAAAGGGAAAGGAAGGAAAGGAAAACTTCCGAAGTCATTCTATGAGACTAGCATCACTCTGATACCAAAACCAGATAAAAACTACACCAAAAAAAAAAAAAAAAAAAAAAAAAAAAAAAAAAAAAAAAAAAAAAAAAAAAAAAAAAAAAAAAGGGAACTACAGGCCAATAACTCTGATGAATACAAATGCATTTTTAATAAAATGCTAGCAAACAGAATCCAGCAATACTTAAAAACTCATTCATTCACAAATCAATCAACATGATACACTACATTAATAAAAGAAATGACAGGAACCATATGATCATTTCAATAGATACACAAAAAGCATTTGACAGAGTACAAATCCATTCATAATAAAACTCTCAACAAAGTAGGTTTAGAACAAATATACCTCAACATAATAAACTCCGTATGTGAAAAACCTGCAGCTAATATCATTTTCAATGGGGGAAAAACTGACAGCTTTTCCTCTAAAGTCAGGAACATGACAGGGATGTCTACTCTCACCACTGTTATTTAACATAGTACTAGAGTTCCTAGCTACAACAATTAGACAACAAAAAGAAATAAAAGGCACCCACATTGGCAAAGAAGTCAAATATCCATTATCTGCAGCTGACCTGATACTGTACATAGAAAACCGAAAAGACTCAACCAAAAAATGGCTAGAACTGATACACAAATTTGCAGAACACAAACTCAATGTACAGAAACCTGTTGCATTTGTATACACCAATAATGAAGCAGCAGAAAGACATTTACAATTGCACCAAATAAGATACAAGATAACTAGAAATAAATCTAACCAAAGAGGTCAAAGACCTGTACCCTCTGAAAACTATGCAACACTGTTGAAAGACCTTGAAGATGATACCAAGAAATAGAAAAGCATTGCATGCTCATGGATTGGATTGGAAGAACAAATATTGTTAGTGTTTATATTACCCAAAGGAATCTACACACTTAATGCAATCCCTATCAAAATACCATCAGCACTTTCCAAGAGCTAATACAAACAATCCTAATCTTGTATGGTGGAATCACAAAATACCCCAAATAGCCAAAGCAACTTGAAAAAGTAAAGCTGGGGCACCACAATTCCAGACTTCAACTTATATTACAAAGCTGTTATGATCAAAATAGTATGGTACAGGCGCACAGATCAACAGAACAAAACAGAAAACACAGAAATGAACCCACGACAATATGGTCAGTTAATCTTTGACAGAGCA